TCGCCCAATCCTAAAAAACCGCCTCGGCTGCGCACGACACCTTGGTTGATGACTCTATCTTGACTAAAATGCACGCACACACGCCCGCTGATAGAAAACCCCCAAGCCGATCCTGTCCGAATCGCCTGGGGGCTCGGGGGCTACACTCGTGGGTACGCTCGCGTACACCCGCTGACAAAACAAAACTTCCCCCGCAGGCAACACGAACAACCCCCCAGATGATTCTACCCGAATCGCCCAGGGGCTCGGGGGCTACACCCTTGTATGCGCTCGCGCGCACCCGCCGTCAAGACAAAAATCCTCCAGATAATTCTACCAAAATCGCCGGAGCTCGGGGGCTTCTGTCGGGTTCATAAACCAGGGCCCCTCATGAACCGGCTTCCCAACAAAGTCTCGGCCTAGCAGACGACGTTGTGAACGACGCGCAACTCATGGGCCAGCCCAAATACCTAAACGACATAATAGAAGGGCGATCCAGTCTCCGACTGGAAGGCCTGGACGAGGAGGAATGGCGCCCGCTTCCGACTCTGGCCCGCCTCTCCGACCGGAAGGCCTCACTTCCAACTTTGGCCCACCTCCGGACGGCCTCTCTGACCGAAAGGCCTGGCTAAACACCACTTCCGACTCGACCCGCGTCCCCGACCGGGGATGCGCCGAACCCCTGCTCACAGCTCTTCTCCAACTGGCGCAATCAGAGCCGATTGGGACCAACGGACCGGGGACGCCCGCTCGGTAAGGACCAGGAAACGGACGGAGAAAGTAAAGCAGGGCACTCAAGTCAATCGTAATACCAAGGACTATACCCTGTACACATGTAGGACAATACCCTATGACCTTCCCAAGCAGTGTTGTAGGCGCCGACATTTTCCCTACAGTGTTGTGGGCGTCATCAACTCCCATACCAGACAAACACGGTAAGGCTCTTCCCACATGTCTCTAGGCATCAACAGTGTTATGGGCGCCGACATTTACCGTACCAGGCGAACATGGTAAAACCCCCTGCATACTTCTCGGCATCAATAGTATAGCAGGCACCGACATCTGTCATACCAGAAGAAGACGACGCAACCTCCCACATGCATCTGACATTAACAGTGTTATGGGCGCCTACAATCATCTTGTACCCGACGGCATGGGCAACAAGACTTAGTATACGTACACTCTCTCCCTCTCACTTGTAAGGCCATCCCATTCATCTATAAAAAAGAATGCGCTCTCTCCCAACAGATAGATCGACCAGTTCACTTACATTGATTCACCCTCTGTAACTTTAGACACTCTAAAATTATACAGAGCACACGCTCGAACATTTAGCACATAGCGGAGCTCCCGTCACTCTTGGCCCTTCAGACCAGAGTTCGACCGCACCTCTTGTACCCCTTATTTTTCTCCCTTCCGTTTGTAACCCCACATGAAACTTCGAGCACCTGGACTCAGGAATAAAGTCACCGACCGACTCAAACTTGACGTAAGACACGTTGCCTAAACCAGTATAAACCCTATGTCATTGAGTGCTAGGCCACCTCCGATCACAACGTACCGTAAAACTATAAATATTTACGTGTTAGTCACTTTCTACACCGACAGGAGTGCTCTCACAAACTGGTGGTTCTTGACAGTGGCAGAGAGTTGTGCCTTGTTAGGCAAAGGCTTTTCAGCTGATGAGCTGTCATCAGGCCAGGTGTCATTGAGCTGCTCCACGATGGGGGCGTATATTTTGTACTATTTTTTTAAGCCAAGCGTCCTGTGTACTTATGCTTGTTTGACTGATAAGATATGGCTGAAAATACTATTGGTTGATTTGATATGAGAGAAAAATATTATCGTTGGTTGAAAAAATACGGCTTATAAGCTAAACATGCCTGAACGGGGTGAAGGTCGCCAAACACATGGTCGGGTGCTGTCACGCACTAAACTATGCCATCTGCGTCCACCCTCGACGTCCAGTAGTGCAGAGCTACCAATCGATTGGAAAATACGTAGGATTACAAAATAGCGACCACCTAACATTCTCTTGCTGGCGAGTGACAGTGAACCGCACTTGCCGATCAAGCAAGATTAACTACTGTGCCCTAGTGGTTAGCTCGCTTTGAGTCACTGGAGCGGAGGAGGTCACCGGCCGTAGGCGCCTAACCACCTATGAGAGGTGTAGACTTCAGTTGTCTGATCAAATGCGTCACGAAATAAAGGTCGTCTTGGAGATGAACTTTTTTGAGGTAAAAAGGGGTCTGGTTATCGTGGACAGATTTCTCCTCCATCTAGAAACGTGACAAATCAGTCAAGCTGTCGTACGGTGTAACTAGAAGACGTGGGGTGTGTGTCATGCCGTCCTGCGTACGAGGGAAACAATGGCTGCGTGGAGGGCGGCGTTGGACTGGGACTCGACCCAGCGACCTCTGTGATGTAGGAGGCACGAAACGATGAGCACATGATTAGATGCTCTCATGCTACTCTCGAATGGCACAGGCCACAGGGAGACATTATTTCAGTCAGGGCAGATTGGAGATGCGCAATGCTCCACGCACGCTCGCTGAAATCGTTTTCATATATGATGTGATAACATGGCTAATAACAAAGGCAACTACTGTATATTGTTGCCATCTCATTTACGGTATAGCACATCTATATAGAGTGGACTATGGACATATCCTGTACTATTAATATATGACTCACTTTACTTTTTAATATAAAAAGTTTCTTCGAGCTTATATAAGGTCAGTCTCAAAAACAACCAAAAAACTAAGATGATTTCTATATTCATTAATTAGGGTGCCAACTAATCAAAATGATGATATGGTATTGGAATTAAGGAAAAGAGAGGAGGAATGATTTCTTAGACAAAAAGCTATGTCTACACAGGAACCAAGATATAAAGAGAAATGATAAATAGATGATATAGAAGAGAGAAAACATATGATTGGGCAATAAATTATTTTTAAGCAACCATCCATTGAAAATGTGTTTTCTATGTGTGGTGTCTACATGATTTGATAATTATAGGGATTACTGGGATTGCACGACGATGGCTTCAAGCTTACAACTCACTTCTCTTCTATTTTCTTCAACTCAACATAAATCTATGGTATCTTCTACGGCGTACTTACATCACGGTATTATACTTGCTCAGATATGACCACCATTTGTTTTGGTATTTCGATCTGTACCCTGACTTGGGATGGGGCACTGATTGATAAACCATTGTGAATTGACATGTGAACCGCACTGGCTGACCCTCTACTTCAAGGCCTTTGTTTAGATACTCATGGATTGTGAAAAAGTTAACTTTTACAAGGTAGATTACTAAAAGCTGGATTATAAAAAACTGAATTAATAGGTTATTTGGATCCATAGCTTATAAAAAAAAAGAGATACAGAGCAAAGTTGGGAGCGTTCGGTACAGCGGCTGTTGCTGCTGCTCTGGCTCTGGCTGCAAATTTAGAACAGCCTGTTAGTGTAGCAGCAACTTGTGCAACTGCAGCCGCTGCAACGGTAAACAGAAGTGAACGAAACCCATTTCTATTGTCCTCGGTCCTTGTTTTCTACACAGAGGTGAGAGAAACAGTGAGAGCCTGAGAGGCATAATTGTCTTTTGACGTCTAGAAATTGGGAAAAAAAAAGGTGGATGGATTGGCTTCCTAACTCTAGGACGCTCTAGATCTAATAAATCCAGCAAAAGATATGGCTGGTTGGGATTCCCGATAAATTCTGAAAGCTAGCCTCTATAATCCACCGGAATCCGACCAGAGACGGAAGACGCATGTCTCACGCCGTCCCATTGAACTCTTTTCTTTTCACTGAACTCTTGAATTTTCTGTATGAGCATTGGGCTGGGCAGAAGATGATGTGCCGTCTGCCGATCTCCTCGGCGAGGAGAATGAGCTTCTGTAGCTACTCTATCTATCCCTAAAAAAAGTTATTCTCGTTTTTTCAAAAAGTCAATAATTTTTAACTTTAATCAAATATATTTTATAAAATATTAATATTTATGTTATATAATTAATGTCATTAGACAGATTCTTAATATATTTTCATAATATATTTATTTAGAGATATAAACGTTTGCGCATATTTCTTACGAATACAAATCTAATGAAAGCCGCGAAAGCAGCGGCCGTCTTGTCATCGCCACTCAGCCGCCAATTCTCGGCAGTCGCCACCTGCAACCACCTCGCCCTTATCTTTGGGCCATGTTTAGTTCCCCATTCGGCGCCGTCGAATATACTGTAACGCACTGTAGTATTTCGTTTGTATTTGATAATGATTGTCCAAACATTGACTAATTAGACTTAAAACGTTCGTCTCGTAAAGTACAATCAAACTGTGCAATTAGTTTTTGATTTCATCTACATTTAGTACTTCATACATGTACCGTAAATTTGATGTGACGGAGAATCTTTTTTTTGCATAGCGACAAATTCAAAAATTTAGGGAACTAACCATGGCCTTGGTTTGTTTGCAGCCGGGACATGACAAGACAGCCGGGGGCAGGCAGGCAGGACGCAGGATGAGCTCATCGGCGTACTGCGTGGCTGGCGCGCGCCGCGGGCGTACATACGGCCTGCGGGTCGTTGAATAATCCTGCGTGCTTGTTGCTCGGCATTCGGCAGTAAAAAAGAACGGTGCCGGAGCAGGTACGCGCGCGCGGCATGTGCAACTCATGTGCTCTGAAAGGCTGAACCGGTCTACTAGTCATTTTTTTTCTTGCGAGAGAGAAGCGGTCGACTAGTCTGAGCCGCTCAACTCCTGTAGGCTTCGGCCGGCCTGCGGGCCTGCGGCTGCCGGCTGCAGCCAGTGGCCCGTTCCGTCCCCGCTGAGGTCTGACTCGGAGGCGCCAGCGCGGGCGCGTGTATAAATACCTGCGTCTCACTGCCGCCCCCGCACGGCCTCCACCACCCGCTCCCGGCTGGCCACCCCCATACTCCCCGTCCGCTGACCCCGACCGCCTCGTCTCCTCCTCAACTGCAGCCTGCAGGTCAGCGTCGCCCGAGCTCTGCGTGGCGATGGACTACTCGGGCACCAAGGAGGGGGCTTGGTGGTCGAGGGAGACGGTGGCCGTGGTGACCGGCGCGAACCGGGGCATCGGGCACGCGCTCGCCGCGCGCCTGGCCGAGCACGGGCTCACCGTGGTGCTCACCGCGCGGGACGGCGAGCGCGGGGCGGCCGCCGCCGCGCCGCTCCTCGCGCGCGGGCTCGCCGTCGTCTTCCGCAGGCTCGACGTCTCCGACCCCGCCTCCGTCGCCGAGTTCGCCGCATGGATCCGCGACGCCGTCGGCGGCCTCGACATCCTGGTAAATCACCCCCTCCCCCACCTTCCCCCCAGCCCCGCTGACTTCGCCATGTAGGAGTATGTTCGAATGGAATGGAACGCAGGAATTTCGCGATACCTTCCTCAAATTTCTTCAGTCTCCGCTCCCTCAAAACGGTTTCGTTCGTGTTCGCCGTACACCAGGCACGCACATCCATTGATCCGTCGATACGTGTCGCGGCCCATCAATAGATGGGCAGTACGCGCGCCCGCTTTGCTAGCTGCTTCGGATCAGGATCCCGCGCGGCATTTGCATTATTGCCTGCGCCTCCCCGCAGCAGTGACGAACGTCCCCACGCTCTCCTGGCCCGCCGCGCACGGCAGCGACCAGACGAATCAAAGCGTCGTGTCGCGCGTCGCGTCGCGATCGCGAAGGCAGAGCGTGTGGCCAGCAGCCCCGCCGGGTCAAGCGGTACTACACGAGTACGCGCAGGACGCCGCCGCCGCCGCGGGTAACCATCGCGTGGCCCGCGCCCTTATCACTTACCCACTCGCCGGTCGCCTCCCGCCGGACAGCGACGGCGGCGGGGATACCTGGACCGTGACGACTGACGAGGAGGTCAGTTGCCGTCATTAAGGTAGTTGGTGCAGTACTACACGCCTATAGTTGTTTGCGATTGCTCCGGAGACCAAACCGGGTACTCAACCACGACAGATTTGGAGAAATCGTACAGGGTTTCCATTCCCTCGTACTAGGTTTACAATTCGGCATTCAGGTTCAAGTAGCTTTCGGCTGTCTCTGGCTGCCGGACGTCCATTGCAGTTGCAGTGATAGCGACGATAATACCAGTTCTAGGCTTCTAGCAAGCACAAAATGTTACCTGAAAAAAAGAAGAACAAATTTGTACTACCAATCACAGAAGATGAATCCCAAATCATATCTTTTCGGGAAAAGTAACCAAAATCATTGGGGGCAAGGCACGATCGTGTTGTCTGAGCCATGGATTACTGTTGAGCTATTGGCATGAACAGGGTCAGGCTAGGTGTGCTAGCGGCAATCAGGTGGCGGTCCATTCCTGAATGACTGTCTAATGATACTACTGGTACCACTCACAGTCCACTCCAGTCGAGTGGCCGTTTGTCAAGCTTCAGTCCAATCGGTCTCTATCCGTTAGCTTAGCTGGTAGTAGTAGCTCATCGAGTCATCAGCTGATATGATCAGAGAGCGCTTTTTCACGAGTCCAGTTCAGACTCGACGCTCGGGCCGAGAGGGAAAGCCGTCGTGCATTATCATACACCAGTCAGTGGCCGGCAGTGCTGTAGCCAATTGTTGCTCAGGCACTTGAAAGGAAAGAGTTCTTCTTTTTTTTTGTTTGGCAGTTGGAGCCCCCTCCATCGGCTCCGCTTTGCTCTGCTCTTTAGAGGTGGGTGAACTTTCTGCTGTCGCTGAAATCAGGTTTCGTCATTTTCTTGTTCGTTGCTGATGCTGCAGGTGAACAACGCTGCCGTGTCGTTTAACGAGATCGACACCAACTCGGTGGAGCACGCCGAGACTGTCCTCCGGACCAACTTCTACGGGGCCAAGATGCTCACCGAAGCACTCCTGCCGCTGTTCCGGCAGTCGTCGGCGACCAGCAGGATCCTCAACATCAGCTCGCAGCTTGGCCTTCTCAACGTAAGTGCCCCTTCTGTTTACAGTATTTCTCCAGATGAGCTAGCAACCCTCCTAGTATTGTTTTGGTTCGAAAATAGATACTGTAATAACCGCTGTATTGTGAGTTTGACACCTTATTTATCACACCGTTAAAACTGTACTACTAATAAGTGGTGTAAACACTGCTTGAATAGTTGCGAAATTTGAAAGATAAACTGTCCGGCTGAAGTTGACGTGAATGTGATAGAAGGATTCATTGGATGTAGCTCTGTGTGCTTTGTCGTGCCTCACTAGGTAAAACTAATTGAAGATAGTGACACTAACATATTTTCGTACTCTGTCCTTATCCTGAACTCAAGTTTTTAAGGGATCATTCTTATAGGGGAAAAAAAGACTCAGAGATAAGGGTTGCTAGTAGTCAACTTAATTCTGTGTAAGAGTCGATTGGACTGAACCCAATTATCTGTTTTTATAGAATAGCACAGATGAATACAAATGAGAAAATAATAGCAGATTGCAGCTAGTTAAAAACAAAGGATGACCTTGAAGTGTGAATCCACGAGGCAACCTTGGTGTAGACTAGACTGTAGAGTCATCTTGAAGCATATCACATCGGAATGCATTACCCTGCCTGCCACTAGCTTACTCTTACATTGTCCATACTCCATACTCCATACTCCAGATGATGCAACGTGTACGTCTAATGCCATTTCAAATCCAGAAGAAAAAAAACAGCACCGCTATCTTTTATCATTTATTAATAAAGTCGTTAAAGACGACCCTGTAAAGGAAAAGGATGTGGTCATTCGGTGCAGGCTTGAAACGGTAAGGCATTTGAAACAGAGGACAAGGTGACGATAAGGGCAGAAAATTTGTCACAGCAGGACGTCAGCGACTCTCGTTTAGACTTTAGTGTCATATAGTGTGCACGTCAGATAAAGGATGAAGCTTTAGAACAACATACGTATATACACCATGAAAAGTGTCTATATCTAGTATTAAATTTGCCTGAACTTTTGGTTTCATTCACGGATTTGTATGCACACATGCATGCAGAAGGTGAGCGACCCGTCGCTGAAGGCGCTGCTCCTGGACGAGGACCGGCTGACGGAGGCGGGGATAGAGGCGATGGTGTCGCGGTTCCTGGCGCAGGTGAAGGACGGGACGTGGGGCGAGCAGGGGTGGCCCAAGGTGTGGACGGACTACTCGGTCTCCAAGCTGGCCCTGAACGCCTACTCCCGGCTGCTGGCGCGGCGGCTCAAGGCGCGTGGGGCGCGCGTGAGCGTCAACTGCTTCTGCCCCGGGTTCACGCGCACGGACATGACCAAGGGCTGGGGGAAGCGCACCGCCGAGGAGGTGGCCGACGTTGGCGCCCGGCTCGCGCTGCTGCCCCCCGCCGAGCTCCCCACGGGGACCTTCTTCAAGTGGTGCACGCCGCAGCTCTACTCCAAGCTGTGAGTGACGTCGTCGTCGGCTCGTCGCTCGTCGGGCGGGCGCCCCGTGACGGCTCACGGCTAGCTGGAGTATAATGTAGCATTTTCGGTTCGGTGTAGCTGCTCCTACTCCCGCTGACTACTAGTACGTATCAACGTGTGCAGTGAATCAAGTCAGAAACGGGTGTGTCGATCTGCCAAGGTGCTCTGGTTGAACACAGCTCGTTTGTGACTCAGCAATGTACCACATGTACTTAGTTGTCTAAGATTTAGGTCAATTCTGAGCACTGGTTCAATGGCTGGTTTACCTCTGCTTCTCTCTTACCGTTTTGTCCGTTCAAATGTATGTTCCTTCCAAACTGGAACAAGAATATCATCAGATCGTCGCCAAAAAAAAAAGAATATCATCAGATCAGATTAAAAAAAAAGGAACAAGAGTTTAAATGGGGTGTGCGCCCAAACTCCACAGCCTAGATATATGTGTAGGCAGGAGGAGGCCATGCGAAGACCCGGTATAATATCGGCCCAAACATGGAGTTTGGGGCGATCTGGGCCTGATCCTGGTGTTCTCCTCGATCCACAAGTAGCAACATTACAAAGTCCTCTCTTTTTTAAAACAAAAAAAGAGGGTGCAACTAAGTGGGACTGATATATCATATGAGTAGAATAGAATACTATATCGGCGATTCTAGCGCCCGGACGCCGGTCCTTCCTAAAGTCCGCCCGCCCCACGCGCGGAATAGAACAGAACCCCACCCCCACCCCCCCCCCGCATATAGAACGGAATAGAACGAAACCCGCCTCTGTCCTCCGCTCCCCACAGCGCCCCTGCCCCCCGTTCCCCTGTCCCAAAAGAGTATGAAACACTTCAAGTGCAACATTGCAAACATATGAAAAAACTATGTAGTACAATATCGGGATATAAATACTGCAACATCGTAAAAATATGTAGTGCAACATTGAAAAACATGCACTGCAACATTGAAAAATATGTACTGCAACATCGAAAAAATATGTACTGCAACATCGAAAAACATGTACTACAACATCGAAAAAATATGTACTACAAACATAAAAAAATATGTGCTGCAACATCGAAAATTATGTATTGCAACATCTCAAGCAGTAGTACTGCAACATCGCAAAAACATTTGTTGCAACGACCCAAAAATCCTATTGCAGCATTCGAAAATCAACTGTTGCAACATCTCGAAAAACCCATTGCAACACGTGAGAAATAGCAAAAAAAACATACAAAACAGCCCCTGACCCATCACCTTCGAGCTCGCTGAAGGGAGCAGGGAATAGGACCCCAGAGCTCGCCGAAACCCTGCGATCGCCGCGTCCCTCAGATCCAGAAGAGGAGAAGGAGGAGGAGGAGGGCTTAGATTCAGAGAAGGACCCGACCTACCTCGTCGAAGCCGCCCGACGTCGTCCTCGTCTCCGGTGGGAGTCGCATGGAGGTCGCGGAGGGAGGGAGGGGAGTGCGGCCCGGAGAACCGCGCGCGACGCGACAGCGAGTGGATGCGGAGGAGCGGGGGGAGAGCAGGCGAGCGGAGGGAGCGAGTGGGCGCGGGGGGTCACGGGATGGGATAAGGATTCGATGGGCGCGCTCGGTCGAGTCGTTCCGTGTGCGGGTCCGTCCGGACGGAACGGACGCCCGCACAGTATCATTATCAATACTATATAGATATTGTTAATTTTTCTAGCAGGGGCTACAGGGATTGTTAATTGTTGCTATTACTAGACCAAGGTTAGTAGTTTGTTTGATAGTGGCATATACTGACATGGTGTCATCAGAAGATGCTTTTGCTTATTCTGATAACCCAGTCTAACACGCTCGTCTCACACACTAATAATATTTAACAATGTCTCGTAGCATCACCCGTTCGGCCACAATCTTTCGCTAGTTGCTGGCTGCCTAGCCCGTGGCCGCAACTGCCAACCGACCGAGATTTGTCGAGCAGCGGGTGCAGGACGCCCTGATTCCGGGCTCAATCAAAAACAAGCCCACGGGGCAAGTTGGGGAGGGCCCGCCGCGCTTAAAATTCTAGTAGGACTGTAGGAGTACGATCCTGCGCCTACCACACCCCGTATAATTCCCAAAAGGTGCACTAGCTCACCGGAGGGCCCACTCGAGGTGGCGCAGGTCAGGCTGGACGGCAAAGGTTGTGGGCCATGTCGGTGAGGCGATCCGTGCCACAGTGACAAGTCTGCAGCTGCTGCTGCCCATCTCAGAGAATCAGAGAGAGCAGCTTCCTTTCGCTTTTCCAGCCCAAAAGACGGGGACATCAATCATGAACGCCTACTTGTACTCTCGCGACCTTTTGAATTAGATTAGCCGGGAGGATTATGTTTATTATCTGCATGAAGAAGCAGTAGTAGTTGTTTGTTGCTCTTCCGCGGGGCCACCGTCCGCGCTGCACGCTGATATTCTAGGCCTCGACCACGGCATTATTCGGAGCATCCAAACGCTCGTCTTCCGGACTGGACGTACCGAGATGGCGACGGCAAAACGCTCCTAGTGCACTGTAGCGATACCAGATGGTGCTCCGTGAGAGCGTGGAAACAGAACTACTCGTACAGAAGAAGTGTGCACGCGAACGCGATGTTCTTTTCCGTACATTGATGTTTGGTACAAATCGTTACAAGAACAAACCCTGTACATCCGTGTGAGTCCTGGCTCTTGTTGCCGGACGCGCTATAGTGGCGCTGTTCCTGATGTCCGCCACTGAGAAGAAGAATACAGCCAGGCCCTCTGGCGCTGGCATGGTGCAGACCGCAGAGATAAGCACCGGTTTCCGACGCCAAGACGTCAGTGATCAGCCTGCGTTCGAAAAAGGCACTACCGCTGGTTGCGTTGCCGTGCTGGCGCCTGTGCCGTGCAGGTGCGCGCTTTGCGTGAAACGCAGCGCCGCGCACACCATGGCATGCCATTTGCCAACATGCGTTCCGCGTTGGTGCGTGTCGGGATGTCACATGCAGCAGAGGGACGAAAACACGCGCTACGCGTGCCATATTATGGCACCCTATAGCTGGTTCCCTGCTAATGGCAGCAGCTGCCGCCGACGCTCTTTTGACTTGTCGTGGGTGGCGGACGTACAGAGTCGATGAAACGAATCGCGACGGCGGACGGCCGGGCCCCTGAAGGCGTGAACCCCTCCTCGCTCTCATACTCGCCAGAGGAATAACGTGACGCGCCACCGGCACGCGACGTTCGTTTGATTTGGATCGACCGTTCTCTCCTTAACTGTGCAGTGCGTACACGCACGCACTGCCGCACTGCACTGCTCGTCTACTCCACCTGCCGTACTGTACCGTACCCAACGGATCGTCTCGGCTCATACTACGAGACGAGCCACACCGAGCGCGTCGCGCATTTACAACCGCCAAGGCCACTAGAAAGCCCCCGGATCCCCTCGTTGGCTCGCGGGCCCGTCTGCAGGAGGCGCTGGGGCTCGCGCCGTTGCGCGGTTGCTGGCCGCTCATTTAGGCGCGTTTGGTCCCCCGCGCCCGCTCGCTCGCTTCGGAGCCGTTGCGCCGGTTTTTTGCTGGCCGCTCAGTTTTGGAAGCAGTCCAAACACCCCTTACTCCGCCGATCGTCTGGCGCCGCACGGCGAAATGGCACCGAAACCCCCGTCGCCGTCGGTTTCGGCGGACGGACCAACCGCAGCCCGAGCGCCGGCCGCAACAGGTCGCCAGCGAACGAAAGCCCGAGCGCCGGCCGCAACAGGTCGCCAGCGAACGAAACGAACCAGAAGCGGACGTGGTGGCGGTCACAGGCGCACAGGGGAAGAGGAAAACTGTGCGTTCAGCGTTGCTCCAGATTCTCCTCCTTCTCGCAGCGCATGACAGACAGCAACAGCAGAAGAGGAAAACGACAGAGGAAAAAACAGAGAGGCGACGGCGACGGCGAGCCGATCGAAAGCACACACAGGACAGGAAAAAGGCTCCGCCATGCTACGCCTACGCTACTGCAGCTGCCACGCGACTGTCCGTTCCCCTCCCGGCTCCAGCTGCTGCTGTCGCTTCCGGTGCCTCCTCGTCGGCCTCCGACTCCGACTCCGCCAGCGCCATCCGGCGGAGCGGGCTGGGTCCCAGGCGCCGGCGCTTGGATGCCGCCGCGTGGCGCCGCCGGATCACCTCCATCTCGTTGCGCCGCCGCGTCGCCTCCTCGTCCACCACGAACCGCCGCATCAGGATGTCGTCCGTCAGCGACTTGCCGCGGAACACGCGGCGCGCGCCGAGCTCGCCTGCGCCGACGCCCTTGCCCGCGGACAGTGGCCTCCCCCCGCGCCCCGCCGCGGGCGGCGGCGCCACCAGCGGGCTCACGCCGCACCCGGACGCCGACGCCGACGACGCGCGAGGGTAGCTGTAGCTCCGGCGCGGCGCCGCGTCGGCCTGGAAGCAGTAGAGCGACTCGCTGTTGTACGAGGAGATGGGCGCGCACAGGCACACCCGCGTGAACGACGCCGCCACGTTCAGCGACGAAGACTTGCGCAGTTTCCCGGGCCCCGCCGCCGCCGCCGCGCCCTTGCCGGCGGCCGTCGTCGTCACCCCCGATGCCGCCGCGGCCTTCGTCGGCGACGCCCCGGCCGCCGGCGCCGGCTGCTTCCAGATGAGGACGAGCACCTCCACCGCGCGCTGGTACCATCGGGACTTCTTGGACGACAGACCACCTGATCTCGCGCCGCCATCTTTTCTGCATGCACGGCAAAGCATCTGTCACGTCAGTCGATACGAAATTCTCACGGGCGGTGGTGATGGGGAGTGCCCATGGCATGCATGAACAGGGAATGTACCTTGGCTGCTGCGTGTTCTTTGCCATTTTTTGCATCAACAGGGAGTGGAGAAACATCTCCGGGCTGGCGCGGACCAACAAGTGAAGTCGCGACACAGGAGTCAGGACTGAGAGGAGAGAAGAGGTGAGGTCACATCAAGATGTTACCACTACATCCCCCCTATGGGGAAGAAGTGAACTAGTGAAGTGAGCGCGGAGCTTCCACGGCATGGAGGCACTCGGAG